AGTGTCGTCATTACGTATAATTTATGTTTAAAAAATTCAATTTTATACAAGGCACTGGGAAATAGGGGTCTACAGGTCATCCAACGACTTTTAGAGGCTCAGAGAGTCCTTATTGTACTCTACTGTTCTAACAAAATGTTAATAAAATAAAATAAAACTCCCTTTTTCCTTTCCCCTCCCCTCACCTTTTCTGAGAGAGTTGATTTTTCTTTTAATTTGGGGAGTGTTTTCAGCCGGCTGTCTTCCTTCCCTGCCTCCTCCCTGGCTGGAGTGTGCCTGGGGAGATAGGTAGTGGTACTCTGAGAGAGGTGACCCCCGGTGTCCCCAGCCCCACATGAATTACCTCAGGCCTGTAAACAGCGGGGAGGAGGATGACCCCAAGGACAGCCCCGAGCTGCCACCCTTGGCTGCCGGCCCTGTCCCTTCATCCCAGTCAGTTTTATTAGAAAACTCCGGCCAGACCTACGGGTGCCACCAGCCTCGCTGTTCTTCCGCCTGCTCCTGACCCCGTCCAGCCTGGCTGCCATTGGACACGAGGGCTGCCCAGAGCACTGCTGCCTTTTTGGTCTCTTTCATCTTTTGTCCCCACCTGGGCATGGCCACTGAGCCATGCCCAGTAGTCTCTGGGGACAGAACTGAGGGGACTGATTGCGAGAAACCTTGCCCAGCCCGTCCATCCCGCAGAGCAAGACAGCCCTTCCCGGTGCCTGGTTTGGCCTCAGTCCTGGGAAAGGGCCCCGCAGCGCTGTCCCAGCCAGTCGCTGTTTGGATTTGTTTGCATCTTAACAGACACCTTCCGAAAGAGAACAAGAATTTGTTTTATCTTCTAGGGGATGGAACCGGGCAGGCGGGGCAGCCCTGGGGCCCTCCTCTTCAGCTGCGGAAGCCGGGAAATGGGACTTCAGTGATCAATGAGGGAGGGCTCACTAGTGTTCTTTCAGAAGTTACCCAGCCGTGGAGAGCTTTGGAAAAGAGATCTGAGAGTTGGCCAGTAGGCTGCTCTTCCCTGAAGAAACTGATTTGGAGGTGTGGGGAGGTGGAGTCCAGAGACGAAGACGTCTGTCCTGATTTGGGGTGCATGGCATTTGGCTTCCTTTGCATTGCCTGTCTGGCAGATGAGACACTTGTGGATCTGTGGGGGGTGAAGTGACACTGGGCCCCCCAGAGACTGGAGCCTCACCCTTTCTCCCACTGGCCAGCTCCTGGGCCCCTTGCTCCCACGGCTCTTGGCTAAGGCTAGTGAGAGGTTGGCACGAAAGGAGGCCTTTCTTACTTTCATTTTCTCTCAGTAATGTATTTTCATTGCCAGTGCCAATGACTGTGGGGTGGGGGTGTGGGATCGGTGGATCCTGAAAATGGCCAAATGGCAGCAGTGCGGTAATGGAAAGATGCGAATGCAAAGTGCTCCTGGTGTCATGGAACGCAGGCAGGCGTCCTCAGTCAGAGGCGGGCTCAGGCTTGATGAAGATGGACTAATTCTTCCAGCGCGCCAGCCGCTCGAGGAGCACTGGCAGTGAGGGGAGGGCAGGAGGAGGCTCACAGCCGCAGGACGGTGAGCCCTGCGCACGGTCCCTCCGCTCTGCACAGCCCTGGCTCTGTCCCTCGGTGGTTAGATTATTCTTTGCAGATAGCAATCAACTGGAAGGAAGTGTGTGTGTCTAATTTGCATGAGATTATTTAAAACAAAAAAAAAAGGTCTGCATTAGTCAGGGTGATGGTAAACAACGCAAAGAGATGCCTTTTATAATATAGCCTGAGCTCAGCTTTCAGAGCCAAATATAATTCACTTACAACTGGCAGTTTCCTTTATTATTCCTTTTAACCTTTTGGATTCTGCAAGGTCTCCATCAGAGACTCTTGAAAATCACTGGTTAGCTGGGCAGGGGTGATTTGGGGAATGGAATGAAGGAACCCAGATATCTTAGTGGGTAGATCTTGGGCAGTATTTAATCCCTAAAGAAGGGCCACTTCACCCCCAGGTGACAGTCCCAAAGGTGGCCAGCCATTCATAACAAACAAACAAACAAACAAACAAACAAACAAACAAACAAACCCACTGCCATTGAGTTGATTCTGACTTAGTGGTCCCATAGGACAGCATAGAACTGCCTCTGAGCGTTTCTGAGACTGTAACTCTTACCCGTAGCAGAAAGCCTCATCTCCTATGGAGCAGCTGGTGGGTTCAAACTACTGACCTTAGGATTAGCAACCCAACATGCAACGCACTATGCCACCAGTCCTCCCGAAGGTGGGGACAGTGTGCAGGAAAGGAATGTTTAGGGAGTCCTGGGCTCTGGGGCAGCATGAGGCTCTGCTGCCCACCACTGTGGCCTGAGAGTTTTCCTGGAGTCATCCCCACAAGGGCCCACCAGCTGTGTTCTCTGGTGGTGTGGCCCCCAAACAGTAGTCCTTGGCTCTTATCTGTAGATGGGTGTGTCTGGGCTGGAGGTGGGAGAACGGTTAGCTCTTATCAAGCCCCTATACAAGACTGATGACTTAAGGCCTAATTCCTGGATCTGTCTTTAGATGCCTTGGACCAAGGGACACTATGGGAGATGCAGGCCTGGGTTGTCCTTGAAATGACCAGTCTCTGACTCGTACGGTCTGGGGCCTGTTTTTCACTCTCCATGTGCCTCAGTTTCTTCGCTTTTAAATGAGAAGGGGTGATTGGGATAATGGTTCAACTGTGAAATTCTGTTATTAAGTGTTTAAAAAAGAGATTCATTTTATGTAACTAAATCAAAACCCTGATTCTGTCAGGGAAGGAGGGATATCAGAATTCCAGCCAGTGTAAATTTAGAGCCTCCAATGATAAGGTCTCTGAAAAACAAGAGCGGAGCAGGAAGTGCTGAAACCCTTCCAGGCAGGGTTCGGCTGGAGTCGTGCACAGGGCAAGCTGTGTTAGGAAAAGTGGCGCTGTGAAAGGGCAGGGCAGGGGTCCTGTTCCTTTAAACCAGCTCTGCTCTCAGGGCCGCAGCTCGGTCCGTAACTTACTGTATATTTCCCCAGTGTTAAACATTATCGCACTTGTTTATATTTGAAAGAGCCAAAAGGGAAAATGAGAATGCAACTGAATGCTCCTTTTGGGAAAATTATCCTCATTTGCAGCCCGTGGCTGACAAGGCACACGAGCCACCGGGTTGATAAAAGTCCGTGTTGTGCCAGTGACCATCAGCCTGTGCTGACGCCGCGGATGCCGCCGCCTTCTCTAATGGCCGATTATGAACTGGTGACAGCGCCGACTTTCCTACTAGGTCCCGGAAAGGGGTTCCCTTTCCTCTTTAGTGGGCGTGATTGACTGTCCCTACAAAGGCTGGAGTCCGGGGAGGCACCTTCCCGGTGGGGAACCATGGTGGTCTCCGTTTGCCTGGGTCTTCTGTTGATCCTGCCCCTGTGCTTCTTGGGATGCCAAGTGACAGGTAGCGCAGCCCCTTTTTAGCCAGTTGGGGGATTAGGGAGGAGAAAAGTCACCTGTCTAGGTCCAGCATGCTCAAACATAGCTAAGAGTCAGGAAGGGATCCTCGATGCTGGGACGCTTTCTCCTCGGCCAGCAGTCTCTTTGTGAGCCTGGTGCACCTCGGCCAGTGCACAGGTGTGGCCTTGTCCGCACTGGGCACTTTTCCCGGCAGTGCAGGGCCGCTCCACAATGCCGTTCTCCCCTGCCTGGCTGCAGTGGGGCCTGGCAAGTCTGAGGGATGGCTGCGGCCACCTCCTGTGCCAACATGGCACAGGGCCGAGCTGTGCTCCTCACATTAATGTGTGCCATCTATTAGCCCCTTGGCACGGAGTGTGAGGCACCATGCTTTTGAAGATGCTGATCCTCAGAACCTCCGTTTACTTCATTCACCCCCAGGGGCAGATAGACTGTGCTATGGGCCTCTAATGGAGAGCTGCCGACCAGATGTGGAAAAGCTCTCGGCTCGACTTTAAAAGCTCTGGGTTGCAGGGCCGGAGATTGGGATTCCCGGCACAGCATGGGCCAGCCAGAGTGCTCTTCGGCAGCAGGCGGGACCTCCCACCTGCTTTGCTCACTCCTTGACCAGAGAGCACTCTGGTATCCCCTGACTTCCCGTCTGGGTGGGCCTTCCTCAGACCTGTGCGCCACGCTTCGCTCCGGGGCTGTGGGTTCTTGGGAGCCCAGAGTCACCGTCCGGGCCTGCCACAGACCGAAACAGTTCCAGCTGTGTGCCCACTGAAGTGCGGTCAGCATGGCTTTCCCACTTGCCTTCCACTTTTCCCTGGGCAAATCCTCCCCACGTGTTCTAGCCACTGCAGATGGCGCCCTGCGACTTCCCCATGCCCCTAGCTCCATGTGGCTGAGGGTCGGGAGGCTGAAAAAAACAAAAGGAAAAGGGGGGAAGGCAAAGTAGCCAAGGGCGATACAGGCAGCCTTTGAGAGGCGAGAGCAATAATCATTGGAAAGTTTGGGCCTGGCCTTGTTTTGATCTGTTTTCTTGTTTTATTTTCTTCTTTACATTCCATATCCCATTCATACTAATCACAGTCGGTCCTGATTTTTCTTTTTATTTCTGCATTTGTCATAAAATAAAGCAAATTATTCCCGTCTTCGGAAACAATCTAGACTAATTAGTCGTCTCACCCAATAATTAGTTTTTTGTTTCCCTGTCTGTTTTCATGCATTATTGTTAGTTTTCTCCCCTCTTTTTTTAACACCATTACAGATTAAAATGAGCCACATTTGCAGTTGATGGTATCTGTTTTCAGGGGAAGAATGGAGAATTGCAGTACGGAGCGACTTCAAAAGCAGCAATAAACTCAAGGATAAATTAAGGAAATTGAATGAGCCACATTTGGAAGCAGTGTGGAGGCTAATATTCTGTCGCTTAAGGTTAAATTGCAACTGAGAGAGGTTCCGGAGAATCTGAAATCGAGGCGGCAACTTCCCAGGGTGCTCGGCAGCCTGTGGCTGAGAGAGTTTCTCCTGTGCTGCCGTGGACGGGGGACCGTACTCACCCGCCATTCTGCCCTCTCTCCCCCAGGGCTGACGGATGAAGAGATCGATGTGGCTTTCCAGCAGTCGGGCACCGCTGCCGAAGAGCCCTCGTCCTTGGGCCCAGCCACACAGGTGGTTCCTGCCCAGCCCCCTCACCTCCTTCCTCAGACATACAGTAAGTCGCCCACTCCCACTCCCTCTGTCAGCCTCAGTGTGAGTCGGGACTCTGGCCCGAGAGCAACGCGTTGGTCTCCCAAACGCGGTGAGCCCGAGAGAAACAAGGACTCCCAGAAAGGGCCTTGGGTGTTTCCAGAAGGAGGTGACCCCCCAACCCTCTTCTATGCAGACTTTCCAAGTATGTGACAAAGTGTTTAAACCAGGGCCAGGGGCCGGAATAAGTGAGTTTCTTTCCCTGGGCTGGTTCCCTGCATCTGTCGGTCCTGCTTCCATCCCCTTAGGTCAGCGCACTTGAATGTCCCTCTTTTCCTTACTGAAATAACTTCTCTCGGAATTTTACTCTTTCAAGTTAATATTAGTCAGGTTAGGTTGGCCTTTTTTCCCTTCCCCCTTTCTCCCTTGTTCCTTCTCTCCCTTCCAAGCCCTGGCTAGAAAACACTCAAGGCCGCTCAGTTGATGCCAGCTTACAGCAGTCCTATAGATAGAGGTGAACTGCCCCATAGGGTTTCCAAGAGCGCACATAGTGGGACTCAAGTTCAAGAATATCCCATTAAAATAGAAAGGGCCTTTTTGAATGCTGATTTTTATTATTACCTGAGACCGTGGCCCCTGAGGGGGTTTGCTTTCAAATGAAGACTACTTTAGGTATAAAGTTCGCACCCGGTGGTGTAGTGGTTACGCATTGAGCTGCTAGCCACAAGGTTAGCAGTTCAAAACCACCAGCTGTTCCCTGGGAGAAAGATGAGGTTTTCTACTCTTGGAAGGATTCAGTCTCAGCAACCCACAGGGCAGCTCTCCCCATGGGGTGGCTCTGAGTCAGAATTGGCTAGATGGCAGTGAGACATGCACACCTTTAAAATATTGCCAGAACGCCTCCTTTCAGTCACACAAAAACGAAGAAGCTATGGGAAATAGTTCAATTGTATTTCTTTATTTCATCCCTGAACCTGTTGTCTTCAAAATGCCTTCTATGCAATAATTGCCCTTATTTTAATTGGATAGCTCACACCTTTTATGTTAAAGATTCAAAATCGTGTTCGATATTTAAAAGAAGTATTTGAAAGTGAGGAGTTCATTTCATTTTGACACCCCCTTCCCCCCAATCACATGACCTGCTGCTGCCATCTTACTCTCAGCGGGCCAGTGGCGGCCACCGTGGACTCTGTCAACCTACAAGCAAGGCCTGCGCTTCCCGGTGCGGCCCACGGCTTCATCTGCCACAGATCTCCCTTCTTTGTCTCAGGCTGGGTGGCTGAGGCCAAGTGGCATGCCCTCTGGCTTATCACACCCAGCGCTGCCTGGTGAGCACACTCACTGATGATGTCATGACCTCTTAGGCCAGGGGAGCAGGGGGGTCCGTGCCGCGCTTTGTATGTGGGCTTTAGAGTCATCGGCAGCAGCCACTTGTTGGCTTGGGACTCATCTGGCCTCCCTGGCCAGCAGGCGTGATTTCCGGCCACAGTGTTTGCTCTGGGTCACTAAACACACTTTGTGTGTTTCTTTTTACTCAATGGCAAAGTCCCCACACTCTCTTCTTCAGTTGTGTCCCTGGACCCAGCCGCTGCTTAATGGGATTTGCCGAGGACAGGCAGTGGCAGCTGGGGTGCAGAATTTTCTCAGATGCACATCTGCTCGATTCCAGCTGTTTCCTCCCATGGCTTAATACCAAACAGGTCTCTCGGCTACTTGGAAACTTCCTGCTCCGAACGAATTATTCTGGTCTGTCACAGAGATCGCCTCAGACATCATGCATTTTGCCGCCTCTTCATAGAGGGGCTAAGCTCTTAGTCTTTCTGAGAGAGACAAGAGCAGGGGTGGGGGCAGGGGATGGACGTGGGGGGGGCGGCTCAGTCATTTAAACCACCCTCAGGTCCAGACCTCACTGAGAAAAAGCATTTGTACATTTAAGTATTTGGTAGGAGTATTTTTAAGAGTCTCCCAGCGCTAACAATATAATACATCTTGGAGACAGACTCCTTCCTGCTTTGACACCAGTATAAAAACAACGGGAAGAGTTCACTTTAAGAACCTGAAGTTTCAGTTGTCACTGTGCAGCTTCTTTCTGCAGGTACCGACACGGCTCCTTTCAGCTCCGGCACCGCTACCTCTCTACTCCTGTACTTTTGCCAAGAGGTGTCAAAACTGCTGCAAAA